TCAGTTCAGTTCAGTTGCTCAGTCATGTCCGACTCTTTGTGACCCCCATGGACTGCAGCACGCCAGGCTTCCCTGTCCACCACCAACTCTCAGAGTTTACTCAAACACGTGTCCATTGAGTTGGTGATGCCATCCAACCATCTCATCCTCTGTTGTCCCCTTCTCCTCCTGCCTTCATTCTTTCCCAGCATCAGGGTCTTTTCAAATGAGTCGGCTCTTCACATCAGCCGCCAAAGTTTGGAGCTTCAGCTTCAGCATCAGTCATTCCAATGAATATTCAGGACTGATTTCTTTTAGGTTAGGATTGACTGGTTTGATCTCCTTGCAATCCAAGGAACTTTCAAGAGTCTTATCCAACACCACAGTTCAAAAACATCAATTCTTCACTGCTCAGCTTTCTTTACAGTTCAACTCTCACATCCACACATAACTACTAGAAAAACCATAGCTTTGACTAGATGGACCTTTGTTGGCAAAGTAACATCTCTGCTTTTTAATACGCTGTCTAGCTTGGTCATAGCTCCTTGGTCATGCTTCCAAGGAGCAAACATTTTTTAATGGCTACAGTCACCATCTGCAGTGATCTTGGACCCCAAGAAAATAAAGTCTGTCACTGTTTTCCCTTTAAGTCTGTAAAAAGTGAGGACTTAGTGTATTACACATAGGTAAGGAGAATGAGGCAGAAAGTGAAGACAAACTAAAAAGCCTCTTGATGAAAGTGAAAGAGGAGAGTGAAAAAGTTGGCTTAAAACTCAACATTCAGAAAACTAAGATCATGGCATCTGGTCCCATAACTTCATGGAAAATAGATGGGGAAACAGTGGACACAATGTCAGACTTTATTTTGGGGGGCTCCAAAATACTGCAGATGGTGATTGCAGCCCTGAAATAAAAGACGCGTACTCCTTGGAAGGAAAGTTATGACCAACCTAGATAGCATATTAAAAAGCAGAGATATTACTTTGCCAACAAAGGTCCATCTAGTCAAGGCTATGGTTTTTCCAGTGGTCATGTATGGATGAGAGTTGGACTGTGAAGAAAGCTGAGCGCCGAAAAATTGATGCTTTTGAACTGTAGTGTTGGAGAAGACTCTTGAGAGTCCCTTGGACTGCAAGGAGATCCAACCAGTCCATCCTAAAGGAGATCAGTCCTGGGTGTTCATTGAAAGGACTGATGCTGAAGCTGAAACTCCAGTACTTTGGCCACCTCATGTGAAGAGTTAAGTCATTGGAAAAGACCCTGATGCTAAGAAGGATTGGGGGCAGGAGGAGAAGGGGAGGACAGAGGATGAGATGGCTGGATGGCATCACCGACTCGATGGACATGAGTTTGAGTAAACTCCGGGAGTTGGTGATGGACAGGGAGGCCTGGCGTGCTGCAATTAATGGGGTTGCAAAGAGTTGGACATGACTGAGCGACTGAACTGAATTGAACTGAATGCTATATAGCACAAGTATAGCTAGATAGTACAAGCATTAAGTATAGCTTGATGCAGAGATGGAAGAGGTTTTGGAAACTGTATCACTGGAGATGGTTTTAATTGAACTAAAAGCCTGACTCAAACTATCTTACACATTGAAAGGAATTTAGTAATGATAACTGAAAAATGTCTAGAGAAAAGGCCTACATTCTGTCACAGTTTTACTAGGACTTCTACTCCACTTCTGGGCAATTCTCTTCTTTTGACTTCTGTGCATGGGCTTCATCCTTAGGCAGTTTCCCCAGTGGTCACTGCAAAATGACAGCAGGAAGTTTGATTCTCAATCATCAGCCATGTTCATACGCTCAGAGCAATGTCTCAACACAGCTCACTCTGTGTTATCCCAACACTGAACATAAATAAAGGGTCTCATGTTTAATATGACCAACTGTGTCATATACCCACTCCTGAACCAAACACAAGGATTTCACTGCTAAGCTAAGGACAAGCAGGTCACATCCCTAGTGCATCATTGTGACATAATAGAGGAGAGGTAGAAGTGGATGCTGAGAAGGCAACCACAGCATCCACAGGTTTAACTCTTTTGTTTTGTATATCAAATAAATCTAAAAGCCAAAGCCCAATGATTTTCTAAATTTACATAGTCTGTAAATTCTAATAAAGGAACAATAATCTACTGCATATCATCCCTCACATATTTCTAAAGAAGAAGGTGGACTGAGGAAGGAAAGGTGTGATGTCAGAAGTATGCAAAAGTAGGCAAGTATGTGGTAATAATAGAGGTGGTGCAATTAGAATAGTTTACCAAGGGAACCAATAGAAATGAAGACCCATAAACAGATTTTGGAATGAACCCTTCAGGACAATAGAATGGGTCTAAGATAAATAAATAAAAACAGAATAAATTAGGGATAAATAGAAGTTAATAGGCAACATTTACACATGAGTTTAAAAAGGATCTTTGAAATAATCTGTAAGTTGTAGACCCAAGAAAGGTGATATCTCTCATGAGCTAAAGATCAGATATGATTGAATCAGAAGGCTGGAGACAAGATAGTTCTCCTCCACACTGCAGAGGGGAACCAGCTGCCTGACTAGGCCATCCTTCCTTCATGTTCCCATTTTTGTTGTGTTCTTCACTTACCACATTGAAATCTGCTGTTTTGTATCAGGGGTCCATTCAGTGCAATGGATATAAGCTAAAGAGAAGGGCATGGGATATTAACCCCAATCCATGGAAAGAGAAAAAGGAACCAGAAAGGGAATACAACAGTGATTGGCGGATATGTCAGGAGAGGGAGGTGGATGTGAGGGAAGACAGGGCACAGGCTACCTAAAGTTACTGATAAACCAAGTTAAATGTGGAATGGAAATGAAAAGGCTTTGCAATCAACCATATGCAAGACTGGGGCTTCCTTGATGGCTCAGATGGTAAAGAATCTGCCTGTGATATGGGAGACCTGGGTTCAGTCTTCTGAACCCACTCCAGTATTCTTGCCTGGAGAATCCCAAGGACAGAGGAGCCTGGTGGGCTACAGTCCATAGCCTTGCAAAGAGTAAGACAGGAATGAGTGACTAGCACTTTTACTTTCTTTCTTATACAGTATTGAGTTTAGAAGAAATTGACCGGATAAGTAGAAAGGTATTCACACTCTCCACAAATTAGTACATTGATTAACTGTCCACTCATGTCCACTCTCTCAGTCGTGTCCGACTCTTTGTGACCCCATGGACTGTAGCCCACCAGGCTTCTCTGTTCATGGGTTTTTCCAGGCAAGAATACTGAAGTGGGTTGCCATTTCCTTCTCCAGAGGATCTTTCTGACCCAGGGAACAAACCTGGACCTTCCCCATTGTAGCAGATTCTTTACCATCTGAGCCACCAAGGAAGCACATTCATAGATAGATTAATAACTAGATAGAGGCAATGATTTACCCTTTCCTTGAAAGGGCATTTCACAGAAATTATGAATTTCTATGAAAGAAATTCATAGAAGAAAGCAATTCATACCAGGAGAAAGAAGGCAATTCATACCAGGAAAATCCAAAGTCAGAAGATATGAAGAAGCAAAAATGCCCAATGGTTGAAGTATTGGTGACCCAATCAATAAGATAGGCTTGCAATTAGAGGGCCTGATTGAATCTAGAACAACTGCAGTGGGAAGAACACATTGAGAACTCTAAGAATGAGGCCAGAAAAAGGAGGACAGAAGTACAGGTAGATTGTTAGGAAAATCATGTCAATGAAAAGTTCAGGTTGCAACTAGCTCAAATGGCTGAGGACAATATACCATCTGGCATATCATGTAAGGACAGAGAAAATCTCTAACAACTTGGAGTAGGAATTAAGTAGGCAACAAAAAATGAAACAGTTGGAAACTTAAAATTACTAACTGTTGCCAATTCCTGAATTCCTCTTATGCATTCCAATATACTTAGCACTTAACACATTATCTCTGATCACCATGATAGTCTTAGAAGGAATAATAGCTTTGATTTTGAGAAGCTTTGTGAAAGTAAGCAATTTATATTAATCAGCAATTTGAACAAAAGAATCCCAATATTTCACTGCATTGGACAAAAAAAAAGGTGTTTTACATGTCAGATACTAAAATTTCTTGATCACTCAGTATTTTATATAAAAATTAGCAGATTTTAGATCAAAATCAGTTTACTCTATCATGGATTAATGAAACTTGATATGTGGAGAATATATTTGTGGAACAACAAACAAGTGTCTTTTGGGTGTGCTTGAGAATAAAAGCGTATGCTCACGAATATATGCATGGCCTAGAGAATGCATTCAGGGTCATACATAAAATCTCTCAGCCAAAATCCTCATGAATTTCACTATTGCATTTCCCTGTAAGAAAGGAAAATGTATTGGAAGGAAAATATATTGAAAAAAAAACCAATCCAACCACTTATGAAATCCTTGATATTTGTAATATAAATTATAAAATTCAGATAAACCCATATTCCAAAATTACACTGACCTATGGGTGGCCTCAGCAAACCTCAGAAAATTTTGATTTCACAGATCTTTTAAGCAGGTAATGGAAACATTAACTATAACACCCATACACACATACACTCTCTCTCTCTCTCTCACTGACTCACTCACCCAGGAGACATTTGGTCACTAGAAGAATTACTAAATCTTCTAACTAATTTCAGCCAATTACTGCTCAGTTATGTGGTTCACATCATGCCCAAATAGACTCCTGGTAGTTATTGTTCCTCATACCCACTTGTCTTCTGTGTTCTTAGGATAAAACAGGGAGTATTTTAACAGAAGTTATCTGAGTTGGTAGGACTACACTTCTTGAGACCAGCATCCATGTTTTCAATGTTATATAAACACTTGTTGGTGAGCTGGGAATAAGCAAAGAAGTAGTTAAAGAAACTAGAGAAATGTCAACACCAAGGAGTCATCAATGATTTCTTTTGACACTACACTCAAGCCTAGATCCTAGGAAAAATTGGGACTAAGATACAGAATGTGGTTTCCATGGATCAGTTGGGATGTAGGGAGGGTGTCAATGGAGTTGCAAATCAGCTTATGTAGAAATAACGTTCTTGATCCATGGAATGTGGCTGTAGATGTTAATGAAGACAGCAGAAAGATCTTTCGGAAAACATCCAGTTGTCCAAGACATAATTCCTTGTAATTTATCGCCACATGTGGCTGGTGCACCTGTGGTCACCTGCCAGACAGAACAGAGGGGATCAGAACTTCCTTCCCACCTGGAAATTTGTCAACTCTTGAACAAAAGCAAAGGCCATTATATCTGCCATGCAAAAGGGCCTGGGATGCAATAGTGTGAAAGCTGCTTTCCACTGCATTAACCACCCCTACCTCCTAATCATCCCTGGACAGAAATTTCAAAATGGTAGCTGGAAGACAGCCTTACACTCCTCAACAGTCTATTTCTCTCATCTCTCACACAGGATGGAGGAGACAGACTCATCATTCTTCAGCCCTTTACTCTCTGAGCTCTCTGTCTGCAAAATATAGACCCTCATGAAGGATGAGAGGTAACAGAAACACAAAGACAAAGAGAAAGAACAGAGACTGAGCTTATGGGCAAATGAAATGAGAAAGGTTACCTGGCATTCTTCTGTGTTTTTTCTTAAGCGTCCCACACAGAACAAGTCTTCAAAAAACTTTTTATGCAGTAATGTTCTGCAGACTGAATCAATACTCAGTTCAGTCATGAAGCTCTGCAGGTAACCTCTCGTCTTTCCTAAACACAATAAATAAAGGAGGCTTTCAGTCATATTTGCATTTTCATAAGGTATTTTGCCTCCCTCTCCTTCAGGGCTTCTTTTCAGTCAGAATGGACTGCAGAGAAAGAACTGAAGGAATAGATCATGGATTAAACATGTCCTCCTGTTTATTTATCATCTTTGAAAGATGATCAGCATCAAGGTGTGCTACCAACCAAGACACTCCAAGCAATATCTGAATCCAAGCTCTGCCGTCAAGAAGTTTATGACTTTGGACAACTAGTTAACCTCCCTGAGTGTTGGTTTCCTCATTTATAAGATATAAATCCTAATAAAATTGATCTACATGATATATGATGATGACTGAATAATACATATAAGATGCTTAGTGCCCAGGACATAATTAGTATTCAACAAATGGTAGCATCTATCATTGTTGTAAGTGATAACCATATCACTGATAGGCAGGTAAAGGAAAAATATGATTTTCATCAATTTGCAAATAAAGATTCAGAGAAGTTAAAGGATCTGTCAGTAATCATATAAAAAATGGCAGAACCAAAACTCAACATAAATCCCTGAGCCTCAGTCCTCTGCAGTGTGTACCAATGTGATACATACACGCAACACACTGATTTAGGATTTGATTCCCAAAGCCCTAAAGGAGATGACCGCTTCTATTCTAAAGAGCTGACACCATTGCTCTATTTCTACTGTTACAATTGGATGCTTAAAAATTAGTTCCAATTCCTTCCCCTGACTCCTCAGAGATGCTGAAGATGTGAACACATCCAAGAATACAGCTAACTATTCTTTGTTGACAGTCACTCACCAAAAGATCTTTTTTCTTCCATCCAGGTGTAAACCAAGCAATCTGAAATGTCACTTGCATTGGAAACAGGCAACTGAAACATGCTGGTAGAGAAGAAGGTGAGAGGTACAGACAACTTTATCAGCATAAGATCATTTTTAGGAGAAGTGAAAGTGAAATTTGGGTGAACAATGACCTCCTCATAAGGCAGAATCTCCCCAATAAACTCTTGAAAAGTGATGGCTCCACCAGTTAAGATCACCTGGAGATCTCTGGAAAATGGAGAGAAAAAATGTTGGTATTATCTACTATCACATATCACAAGGCTAATCTCTCTCTCTTTCTTTCTATCTCCCTCACACACACACAGTCACGTGTACTTTCCTTCCATAATAATCCATTTATCCTCCTCTCATATTTGTCCATCTGAACCTTTATGCATAGCTACCACTTGTGGTCATGTAGGTTGCCTGCCATAAAGTGTAGTGGGTTGCCATTGTTATTGTTCAGTTGCTCAGTCATTTCCAACTCTTTGCAACCCACTGCAGCACGCCAGGTTTCCCTACCCTTCACTGTCTCCCAGAGTTTGCTCCAACTCATGTCTATTGAGTTAATGATGCCATACAACCATCTCATCTTCTGTCACCCCCTTCTCCTGCCCTCAGTCTTTCCCAGCATCAGGGTCTTTTCCAATGAGTCAGCTCTTCACATCAGGTGGCCAAAGTATTGGAGCTTCAGCATTAGTCCTTCTCATGAATATTCAGGGTTGATTTCCTTTAGGATTGATTGGTTTGATCTTCTTGCTCCCTAAGGGACTCTCGAGAGTCTTCTCCAACACCACAGTTTGAAAGCATCAATCTTTCAGCACTCAGCCTTCTTTATGGTTGCCATTAACCCAGACTATAATGTGAATGGTGCCTCCAGGACTTAAGGCATACAATAGCTTGGTCTCCAATTTTAGCATATTTCTAGGGAGAAGCTTCAATCTGCCACCCAGAAATAGCTGAGAGAAGTGCACAAGTGGATTGTCAAGTCTTCTCTGAAAGTAGTTTCTGTTAAGTGGACTTCTTTGGGTGTTGGGGGTAAACAGGAAATATGAGATTGTACAAATGAAATAATTAGCAGCTTAGAGAATTGAATTATTTTAAAGCTAAGGAGGATCATCCAAATATACTATGCTCTACTCATCTCAATCAAAAATTCACTGAATTAACAGGGTTTTCTGATGGTCCTTTACAAGAATAAGAGTCAAAAATACTGGATGTTCCACTGACATCCAGTTGAAATCCACTCACTAACATGGCTCAAGATTCTTCAGAACAGGACACTTCTCTGAGGCCCCTGAGTCTCCCACTCAGGGGTCTCTCCAACCATAACAGTGAAATAAATACCATATTAGTACTGAACACCACTTTTCTGTTGCAATCCCAAATGCTAAATTTGTCTCCTAACAGCAGTATAATTTGTCTCAATCTATTCTTGTCACTCTGTTGTGAGTTTATAAGATAAAACTGTGGTGCTGGAGAAGACTCTTGACAGTGCCTTAGATTGCAAGGAGATCAAACTAGTCAATCCTAAAGGAAATCAATCCTGAATATCCATTGGAAGGGCTGATGCTGAAGCTGGAGCTCCAATTCTTTGGCCACCTGATGCAAAGAGTCAAGTCACTGGAAAAGACCCTTGTGCTGGGAAAGACTGAATGCAAAAGGAGAAGGGGGCAGCAGAGAATGAGATGGTTAGATAGCATCACTGACTCAATAGACATGGAGTTTGAGCAAACTCCAGAAGATAGTGAAGGATATGGGAGCTTGGCATGCTGCAGTCCATGGGATTGCAAAGAGTCAGACACAACTTTGCAACTGAACAACAACAGCATCGTAAGCTATATTTATAATTTAGAAGTCTACTTAAATTGAAGAAAATTCATAAGTAAATGTGATTCTTGGGCAAATTACTGTAAGTGAATTTCAGCTTAAAACAACTCTATGGCGTGGAGGAGGGCTTTCCTGATGGCTCAGTGGTAAAGAATCCGTCTGACAATGCAGGAGACACCAGTGTGATCCCTGGTCCGGGAAGATGGCACATGCCGCGGGACAGCTGAGCCTTGCACCACAACTACTGTGCTCTAGGGCCCGAGCTCCACAAGGAGAAACCCATGCACCACAACGGAGCAGCCCCCATTCACTGCAACCAGAGAAAGCCCACTGCAGCAACGAAGACACAGCACAGCCACAAAGAAAATAGTGTTTCAGAAAACTAAACTACGGTGAAAAAGTACCAGAACAGTAGGTGCCTCTGAGAAATATGAGTGGAAAGTAACTGAGAAGGAGTACAGGATGAACATTAGGATATTGTTTAACTTAAGACTTTATTAAATATTCATATTAAAATTTGAAAAGTGAAAGTGAAAGTCAGTCATGTCTGACTCTTTGTGACCCCATGGACTATACAGTCCATGGAATTCTCAGGCCAGAATACTAGAGTGGGTAGCCATTCCCTTCTCCAGGGGATCTTCCCAACCCAGAGATGGAACCCACGTGTCCCGCATTGCAAGTGGATTCTTTACCAGCTGAGCCACCAGGGAAGCCATTAAAATTTACAAAGTAATAACTGAAAGAATAGAAAAAAGGAAAATTAAAAAGTTATCTAAATTACTAATCTAAGAAAGCAAAAGTATTTTTAGCCAAACAAAATACAGTAGAAATTCAAAACGGGTAAAAAGTAAATATAAACATAGCAATAATCAAAATAACCACAAATGGCCTAAACTCACCAATTAAAAGACAAATTATAGTATTACATTTTTTAAGTCCTGCTATATATAAATTAAGATACATGCTTAAATCAAAAGGATACAGAAAGGTGGAAAAGAAAAGATGTAAACATGATATACCAGGACAACAGTAACCAAAAGAAAACCAGGGTTGGTGTATTAAAAGCTGACAAAAATAGGTTTTAAGATAAAACAAAAAAAAAAGATAAAACATATTAACTGTATGAGAGAAAGAAATGACATATAATAACAGGTTTGATTTTACCAGGAATGTACCAAGTACCTAAATTTATAAATATACCTAAATTTATAGATACCAAATAAAATAGCCTAAAATATATTTTTAAAAAACAAAAATAAAAATAAATTCATAGAACTATTTTGACCAGTCTACTAACACAGAGGAATAACTTCAACACAATCCTCTCATTTCTTGCTATCAAGCAAAAAAAAAAAAAATTAGAAAGGATATAGAAGATTTGAATTACATAATTTAAAATTTGATATACTGGATATACTGAACATACATAAAACCTTCACCCATAAAATCAGAGAGTACACTTTCTTTCAAGCACACAAGAAACATTTATAAAAACTGACTCCATAGTAGTCCCAAAACTAAGTGTCAATGATTTTCAAAGAATCAGTATCACATAGATCACATTCTCAGACCACAAAACAGTAGTGTGTATCTGTTAATCCAAAACTCCTCATTTATCCCTCCTTACATTTCCCTTTTGGTATCCATAAGTTTGTTTTCTACATCTGTGGATCTATTTCTGTTTTTTATATAAGTTCATTAGTATCATTTTTTAGACCCCACAATAAGCGATATCATATGATCTTTGTCTTTGTCTGACTTAACTTCACTTAGTATGATAATCTCTAGTTCCATCCATGTTGCTGCAAATGGCATTATTTCATTCTTTTTTATGGCTGAGTAATATTCCATTTATATCAATATACCACATCTTCATTATCTATTCATCTGTCATTGGACATTTAGGTTGCTTCCATATCTTGGTTATTGTACAATAAATAATGCTGCTATGAACAATGGGGTGCATATATCTTTTAGAATTAGAGTTTATGTCTTTTGGATATATGCCCAGGAGTCGACTGCTAGGTCATAAGGTAACTCTACTTTTAATCTTTTAAGGAACCTCCATGCTGCTTTCTATTATGGCTGCACCAATTCACATCCCCATCAACCAACAGTGAAGGAAGTTTCCCTTATCAAAACATTTTTTTAATTTGGAAAAATTTAGAAAATTCACTCTCAAAATTCTAAACTTACAAATGGAAGATTTAATCAAGTGGAAATTTTATTTTATTCCTTTTTATTGAAATATATTTGATTTACAACATTATATTAGTTTCAAGTGTACAAGATAGTGATTCAGTATTTTTATAGATTATTCTCCATTCATAGTCATTACAAGATAATGGCTGTAATTCCCTATTCTATACAATATATCCTTGTTGCATATGTATTTCAAACACAGTAGTCTGTATCTGTTAATCCCATACCCCTAATTTTCCCCTTCCTCCATCTGTTTCCCCTCTGGTAAATCTCAGCTTGTTTTCTATATATGGGAGTCTGTTTCTGTTTTGCATATACACTCATTTGTATTACTTTTTAGAGTCCACATTTAAGTGAAATCATATCATATTTGTCTCTCTCTGACTTATTTGACTAAGCATAATATTCTCTAGGTCCATCCGTGTTGCTGCAAATGGCAGAATTCCTTTTGTTTATGGCTCAGTAACTTCTGATTGAATATATATATGTGGAGATATATTTATATATATCTCACAACTTCTTTATCCATTCAACTGTTGATGGACGCTTGGGTTGCTTCCATATCTTGGCTACTATAAATCATGCTTCTATGAACATCGGGGGTGCACGTATCTTTTTTAATTACTGTTTTCATTTTTTCTGGATATTTGACCAGGAGTGGAATTGCTGGATCATGTTACAGTTTTATTTTTAGTTTTTTGAGAAACTCCATAATGTTTTCCACACTGGCACACCAATTTACATTCCCACGAATAGTGTATATGAGTTCTCTTTTCTCCACATCCTCTCCAACATTTGTTATTTGTACATTTTTTCATGATTACCATTCTGACAGGTATGAGGTGATATCTCATTGTGGTTTTGATTTGCATTTCTTTAATAATTAGTGATACTACTGTCTGACTGATATAAAAAGTCAAAGCACTTCCAAATAAATCCCAATAGAATTTTTCATAGAATGCAACAAGTTGATTTTTAAATTTATGTAAAAGAATTCCTAAGCATTCCTGATGACGAATAAGATGGCTGGCCAATCACATCACACATCACAAATTATGATAAAGTCATAATTATTAAGGCACTGTGGTCTATAATAAATAAACCAATGGAACAACAATGACAACCCGGAAACAGACCCATGTACAGATGGAAATTTGATAGATGACAAACAGATACTGTAGATCAGTGGGGAAAGAAGAGACTACTTACAAATGATATTTGGATATTTCGCTTAATATGTTAAAAAAAAAATTGGATCCCTACTTCACACCATTCACAAAAATCAATTCCAAATTATACAAAAAATTTAAATATGAAAATCAAAGCTTTAAAATCTTTAGAAGTAAATGTAAAGGAATACCTTTCTGCTTATGATCATAAAAGATATTTTTAACTAGGCACAATGATCAATAACCACAAATAAAGACTGATAATTCAAGTTTTAAATTTAATTATACTGAAGTTAAGGACTCTTTTTACATTAATGAATCACTTATTTTTTCATTGAAAGCTTGCATGCTCTATATGTTTGAATATATGTCTTAAACATTAGTTGCAAAGTACCATTTGGGTTTTTAACTTATTTATATATATATCATTTATTATTTATAAATATTTATTTATTTATATATTTTCTCTCTCTTTTTTTTTTTGACGTTAAGAACTCTTATGCATGAAAATACACCATAGAGGGAAGACAAAGCCACAGAGTGGAAGATATTTTCAACATGTATAACTGACAAACGAGTAATATCTAGAGCACTTATAGAAATCCTATGAAGCAGTATTTTTACAATACACAAAATGTTCAAAAGACAAAAAAGATTATTTCCCAAAAGATACAGTATTGTCAGGAGAAGGAAGAGGAGGATGGGGAGGGAGGATGTTGATCATCACTACTAGTAAAAGTAACACAATTAAGATAATTGACACTTAATCAGCAAAAAAATTAAAGAGCTTGACAATACCCAATATTGGAAGAACTCATAAATTGCTGGAGGGTGTGTAAAAGTAAACATTTGTAAGCTCTACAACCAAGAAATTCCACTCGTTATTATATATTCTATTTATATACCAAGAGGTGTACTTACAGATATAAACCAATATGTTGTGATACCAACACATATGTAGATACAGAATATATCTCACAGATACATATACAAGAATAAGTTCTAAGGTACATCATATGTTTACAGTAACACTTCAAAGTAGCAGAAAGCTAGAAATAACTGAAACATCTATCAAGAAAAGAATGAACCAAACTCTGTGACATTCACATTGAAAAATTATACAGCAATGAAAAATTAAATATAGTCACATCTAACAGTTTGGATGAATCTTAAAAATGTTAAGAACAATGTGCAGGTTTATTTTTATGTGTATATGAAATATTGTACTATACCATAAAACTGTTTCCTTTCTGGACATGTTAAACATAAGAATGTGTAGTTAAATTTTACCTGTATACTTGAGCTCCCCTTTACCATTGAAACATTAAGACTTCCTAACTAGCACAAGTTTTATAGAATTTCCACAGGAGTGTTGAGCCCCAGCCTGGAAGCCTTAATAGAGTAGAACATTGCCCACCACTTACGGTAAGAAGCAGTGTGCTGCCGTTATCACCCACTGAGGAGCAATCAGAGTCCCCATACAGGACTTGTAACTGGATTTCAGATATAATAAATAGAAAAGATTGCTTAGGTCTGCAACATCTTCAATAAAAACTGAAATAACACCTGAAACACACAAACAGAAGAATCACTGGGATATAACCCAGCTGATTAAAAGGGAACTGGCATGGTTATAGAGATTTTAAGATACCAGTGTCAGATAGTATCAATATTTACCATATTAATCACTTAGCCTACCTTATGGTACTAAGTTCCATACTTAGTACAAACACTGTACTAAGCACTTTGCTATTGTTGCTTAGTTGCTCAGTGATGTCCAACTCTTTTGTGACCCCATGGACTGTAGCCCACCAGGCTGCTCTGTCCATGGGATTTCCCAGGCAAGAACACTGGAATGGGCTGCCATTTCCTTCTGAAGAGAAGCAGGGAGATCATGTAGAGGAGAAGGACATTCACAAGATTTGGAATCAGATAGACTGAAGTCAGAATCCTTGAATCAACCATCATTTACTAGTTATATGACTTTAAGTAAATTTCCTAAGGTTAAATTCTTACTTTGTAAAATAATGTAAAATGCATCCACTCCACTTTTTTATTTCCTGTGAAAATTTAAAAATATCTATTTTTAAAGTATCTAAAGTGCAATCTCAAAAATGACAGAATGATCTCTGTTCATTTCCAAGGCAAACCATTCAATATCACGGTAACCCAAGTCTATGCCCTAACCAGTAACGCTGAAGAAGCTGAAGCTGAAGAGTTCTATGAAGACCTACAAGACCTTCTAGACAAACACCCAAAAAAGATGTCCTTTTCATTATAGGGGACTGGAATGCAAAAGTAGGAAGTTAAGAAACACCTGGAGTAACAGGCAAATTTGGCCTTGGAGTACAGAATGAAGCAAGGCTAATAGAGTTCTGCCAAGAGAATGCACTGGTCATAGCAAACACCCTCTTCCAACAACACAAGAGAAGACTCTACACATGGACATCACCAGATGGTCAACACTGAAATCAGATTGATTATATTCTGTGCAGCCAAAGATGGAGAAGCTCTATACAGTTAGCAAAAACAAGACCAGGAGCTGACTGTGGCTCAGACCATGAACTCCTGATTGCCAAATTCAGACTTAAACTGAAGAAAGTAGGGAAAACCACTAGACCATTCAGGTATGACCTAAATCAAATCCCTTATGACTATACAGTGGAAGTGAGAAATAGATTTAAGGGACTAGATCTGATGAAGTGCCTGATGAACTATGGACAGAGGTTTGTGACATTGTGCAGGAGACAGGAATCAAGACCATCCCCAAGGAAAAGAAATGCAAAAAAGAAAAATGGCTGTCTGAGGAGGCCTTACAAATAGCTGTGAAAAGAAGAGAAGCCAAAAGCAAAGGAGAAAAGAAAAGATACTCCCATTTGAATGCAGAGTTCCAAAGAAGAGCAAGGAGAGATAAGAAAACCTTCCTCAGTGATCAATGCAAAGAAAGAGAGGAAAACAATGGAATGGGAAAGACTAGATATTTCTTCAAGAAAATTAGAGATACCAAGGGAACATTTCAGGCAAAGATGGGTTTGATAAAGAACAGAAATGGTATAAACCTAACAGAAGCAGAAGATATTAAGAGGTGGCAAGAATACACAGAAGAACTGTACAAAAAAGATCTTCACGACTCAGATAATCATTATGGTATGATCACACACCAAGAGCCAGACATCCTGGAATGTGAAGTCAAGTGGGCCTTAGGAAGTATCACTATGAACAAAGCTAGTGGAGGTGATGGAATTCCAGTTGAGCTCAAAGTGCTGCACTCAATATGCAAGCAAATTTGGAAAACTCAGCAGTGGCCACAGGACTGTAAAGGGTCAGTTTTCATTCCAACCCCAAAGAAAAGCAATACAAAAGAATGCTAAACTACCACACAATTGCACTCATCTCAAACGCTAGTAAAGTAATGCTCAAAATTCTCCAAGCAAGGCTTCAGCAATACATGAACTGTGAACTTCTGGATGTTCAAGCTGGTTTTAAAAAGGCAGAGGAACCAGAGATCAAATTGCCAACATCCCCTGGATCATCAAAAAAGCAAGAGAGTTCCAGAAAAACATCTATTTCTGCTTTATTGACTATGCCAAAGTCTTTGACTGTGTGGATCACAATAAACTGTGGAAAATTCTGAAAGAGATGGGAATACCAGACCACCTGACCTGCCTCTTGAGAAACCTGTATGCAGGTCAAGAAGCAACAGTTAGAAATGGACATGGAACAACAGATTGGTTCCAAATAGGAAAAGGAGTATGTCAAGGCTGTATATTGTCACCCTGCTTATTTAACTTATATACAGAATACATCATGAGAAACGCTGGGCTGGAGGAAGCACAAGCTGGAATCAAGATTGCCGGGAGAAATAGCAATAACCTCAGATATGCAAATGACACCACCCTTATGGCAGAAAGTGAAGAAAAACTAAAGAGAACTTTCACCTCTTGATGAAAGTGAAAGAGGAGAGTGAAAAAGTTGGCTTAAAGCTCAACAGTCAGAAAACTAAGATCATGACATCCGGTCCCATCACTTCATGACAAATAGATGGGGAAACAGTAGAAACAGTGGCTGACTTTTATCTTTTTGGGCTCCAAAATCACTGCAGATGGTGATTGCAGTCATGAAATTAAAAGACGCTTATTCCTTGGAAAGTTATGACCAACCTAGACAGCATATTAAAAAGCAGAGACATTACTTCATCAACAAAGGTCTGTCTAGTCAAAGCTATGGTTTTTCCAGTGGTCATGTATGGATGTAAGAGTTGGACTATAAAGAAAGCTGAGCACCAAAGAATTGATGCTTTTGAACTGTGGTGTTGAAGATGACTCTTGAGAGTCCCTTGGACTGCAAGGAGATCCAACCAGTCCATCCTAAAGGAAGTCAGTCCTGGGTATTCATTGGAAGGACTGATATTGAAGCTGAAACTCCAATACTTTGGCTACCTGATGCGAAGAGCTGACTCATTTGAAAAGACCCTGATGCTGGGAAGGATTGAGGGCAGGAGGGGAAGGGGACGACAGAGGATGAGATGGTTGGATGGCATCACCGACTCAATGGACATGGGTCTGGGTAAACTCCGGGAGTTGGTGATGGACAGGGAGGCCTGGCATGCTTCAGTTCATGGGGTTGCAAAGAGTCGGACACGACTGAACGACTGAACTGAACTGCAAGTGCTTAGTGGGATTTCCCAGGTGGTTCAGTGGTAAAGAATCCACCTGCCAATGTAAGGGACATGGGTTCAGTTCCTGGTTCAGGAAGATCCCCTGGAGAAGGAAATGGCAACCTACTCCAGTTTTTCACTTTTCACTTCATGGTACTCGAGTTCCATACTATACAAACACTGTACTAAGCACTTTGTTATTGTTGTTTAGTCACTCAGTCATGTCTGACTCTTTAGAGATCCCATGGACTGCAGCCCACAAGGCCTCTCTGTCTATGGGATTTCCCAGGCAAGAATACTACAGTGGGTTACCATTTCCTCCTCCAGGGTATCTTCCCAAACCAGGGATTGAAACCACCTGTGAAGCCCCACTAAGCACTTTAAGTACTTTAAAAAAAAAAAATTTTTTTTTAATTTTCACGGGAAACAAAAAGGTAGAGTAGATACATTTTATATTATTTTACAAAGTAAGAACTTAACCTTAGGAAATATACTTAAAAGTCATACAACTAGTAAATGATGGTTTGTTCAAGGATCCCAATTTCAGTCTGATTACAAATCCCATGTACATCCTTCTCCTCCACACAATCTCCCACTTTTCTTCACCCTGTCTGCAGTTTTCCAGGATGACTCAGCTCATTTCCAATCTCCCAAAGGCTTAAGACTTCTTGGTTTTCTCCACAGTCATAGTCACGCAGCCTGTCCTGCAGCCCCTGACTTTTTCTACTAGCACACTGCAGAGATGCTCAGAGACCAGTCAATGTGACTCCAACAGCAATAAGTTCATTAGTTAATCAAAATTAAAACTTTAATTCTGGCATGAAAATATAGGGAGAGATATTCTGAACAGATGGGCACTTAAATATAGGACAGTACTTATTCTCTGAAAACAGATTATCTGGATTCAAATCCTAGCTCTATCCTTACCAGTAGTAGAAACTTGTACAAATTAGGTAGATCTCTATATCTTAATCTCCTTATTTGTACACTGAAATCACAAACAAACTTCTCTCCTAAGGTTGCTGTGAAAATTGAATGCATTAATGTATGTAAATAGCTTGAAAGAATGCTTGGCATATAATGTGTGTTCAATAAATGTTATTTTATACTATGGCAGTTTCAAGAATATTTTTACACTGATAAATGGCAAACTAATACTCAGAAAAAGATAGAGACAAAGCCTCTCCATTACTTACCAAATAACTAAACATTGGATACTAACTGATATCACCCTGTTTTTTGTGTTATTGCTACTTCTTTATCAGTGACAGCTCCAGCCCTAATTTAATCCTCCTACCTACTAATTAAAAATTTGAAGAACCCAATTAGGGTTAGGGTACCCCAATTAGAGTCAGAATGTTCCTTCTTGACAACACCAAGTTCTGAACTGACTCCATTTCTCTAACTCTATCTTCCGAATTATCCATCAAACCCTTTAAGATGCCCCTCCCAAGTTCCCTTTACTGGGACACATGAGGTTCTCTGGAGTGTGTTGTCCCTGCTGCATAAAGTTAAATAAACCTCACTTTAAAAAATTCTTGGTGTTTTTCTTGGTGGCATTTGGTTAGTGGGTTCAACAAGTTAGGTCAAATATTGCTTTCTCCAGTTCAGGAAAGGAGACAGGAAAATATAAAACTATTACTTTTTTAAAAAATCTATGTTCCAACTGGGGTTTCTCTTGCTATATCAATTTATATTTCTGGGTCTATGGGTTTTCATCTAATAAGTAGTAAAAGAACAATGATTTATACTATATCCCCAAACATTCAACATAATGCCCAGCACATGGTATAAACTCAATACATAGGTATTAAACAAATGAATTAATGAGTGCTCGCTTCAGCAGCATATACAAATGAATTAATGAGAGATTAGAGTAAAACTCACTTTGCATGAAAGGGGCCACTGGAAGGCTCTGAAATTAATGCAAGGGTTTTATGGATTTATATATAAAGCAAGCATCATCATTAAAAGCTAATATTATGTATAGACATGTGTAGTTCTGTCCTAATATATACATGTGTGCATTTTTTAAATCTGTTGAATACTAATTGGTTTCTGCCATGCATGCATGAATGCATGCTAAGTTGTTTCAGTAATGTCAGACTCTTTGCGACCCCATGGACTGTTGCCCACCAGGGTCCTCTGTCCATGGGATTCTCCAGGCAAGAATACTGCAGTGCGTTGCCATTTCCTACTCCAGGGCATCTTCCCAACCCAGAGATCAGACCTGTGTCTCTTGCATCTCCTGCATTGGCAGGTGGATTCTTTACTAGCGCCACCTGCTTCACAACTTTTTTTAGCATAAGAACTCCTTTTAGTCTTAAAATATTTTGAATCTTTTTATGATGTTAATGTTGTTGTTCAGTCACTAAGTTGTGTCTGACTCTTTGCAACCCCATAGACTGAAGCACACCAGGTTTCCCTGTCCTTCACTGTCTCCTGGAGTTTGCTCAGATTCATGGTCGTTGAGTCGGTAATAATATCTAACCATCTTATCCTTTAGTCTTTCCCAGCATCAGGGTCTTTTCCACTGAGTCAGCTCTTCACATCAGGTGGCCAAAATACTGGAGCTTCAGTTTCAGCATGAATCCTTCCAATGACTATTTCGGGTTGATTTCCTTTAGGATTGACTGGTTTGATCTCCTTGCAGTCCAAGGGACTCTGAAGATATATGATGTTAATACATCATGTTTTATTAATAACACTAAGAGGGGTTCTTATGGTCAAAAAGATTGCAAACCACTGGCATAGGCAATGTTCTCATTCCTTCTTATTCTAAGCTCTTCCAGCACATAAATCTAAGTCTTATTTAACTCCCACAATTTATCCCTGAATCTAGACCATCTCTTGTTAGCATGAATGCTCAGTCATGTCTGACTCTCTGCAACCCCATGAACTGTAGCCCACCACACTCCTCTGTCCACCAAATTTTCTAGGCAAAAATACTGGAGTGAGTTGCCATTTCCTACTCCAGGGGATATTCTTGACCCAGGGATCAAACCCACATCTCCCATGTCTCCTGCATCATCAGGTGGATTCTTTACCACTGTGCCACCCAGAAGCCCAAAAGGACCATAAAGGAGTATTATAAACAACTCTATGCCTACAAACATGAAAACCTAGATGAATTCTGTCTAAGATATACTCTGCCAAAATACAAACAAAAAGAAACAGACAATCTAAATATGTCTAAATCTATTAAAGATACCGATTAAATAATAACCTTCCAAAAGAGAAAGCACTGGGCCCAGATGAGTTGACTCACGAATTCTACCAAACATTTAAGTAAGAAATTACACCAATTCTCTGCAATCTTTTTCAGAAGATATGAGCAGACGGAATATTTCCTAAATTATTCTATGAGGCCAGCATTATCTTGATACCAAAAACAAAGTCATTACAAGAAAACTACAAAAAAAAAAAACAAAAACCTTCTCATGATCAAAAATCCTCAACAAAACATTAGTCAAATCTAATTCAACAATGTATAAAAAAAATTATACATGCTCTAAGACCACGTGGGATTTCTGCTATGTATGCAGGACTGGTTCAACATTTGAAAATCAATTAGGAGCTTCTTTCCTGTTTTCTTCTAGGAATGTCAAGGCTTCAGGTCTTTTGTTTAAGTATTTAATTCATTTTGGTTTAATTTTTGTGAGTGGTGTAAGACAGGTTTCCCATTTCAGTTTTCTGCATGTGGTTAGTCAGTTTTCCCAACACCATTTATTGAAGAAAAATAGAGTGTTCTTGTCTCCTTTGTCAAATATCAACTGATTGAATACATAAGTGTTTATTTCTAGGCTCTCTATTCTGTTTCATTGTGTTATGTTTTTATTTTTATGCCAATACCACAATGTTCTAATTACTAAAGTTTTGTGGTATAGTTTGAAGTGTGATGCTTCTGGCTTTGTTCTCAGGATTGCTTTGGTTATTTGAGGTCTTTTGTGATTCCATATAAATTTTAGGACTACTCTTTTATTTCTGTGAAAAATGTCATTGGAATTTTGATAGAGATCTCATTGAATCTATAGATGGTTTTGGGTAGTGTGGAAATTTTAACATTAATTCTTCCAATCCATGAACATGAGATATCTCAATTTTGTTTATGTCTTCTTTAATTTCTTTCTTCAAAGTCTTAGAGTTTTCATTGTACAGATCTTTCACTTCCTTTGCTAAATTTATTCCTAGGTATTTTATTGTTTTTGATGCTACTGTAAATGGGATACCATAAAATTCCTAGAAGGAAACATAGGGAAGAAACTCCTTAACATGGCTCTTAACAATTTTTTTGATTATGACAGTAACAATACAAGCAACAAAAGCAAAAATCAACAAATGATGGTACATCAAACTACAAAGCTTCTGCACAGCCTGTAGAGAAATCGACTGGTAGGTGACATATTTCCCAAACTTCCCCGGTTCTGACCCATCAGCTCTCCCTCCCAACAGCGCTCTACAGTCTTATCTCCTAGCTGAGGCCCAATCAGAGAGAGAGAAGCCTTCAGTCACTCACCAGTTATCATCAGCAAGGTTAACAGGATACACTTCATGGTGATGCCTGAATCTTGTCCTGAGGATAAGGTTGTAGTGAAAACAGGCACAGAGCAGGAACAGAACTTATAACCCACTCAGGGATTCTCAACAGCAGGATTAAGTGCAAATGAGAGAACTGGGATGTGGATTCTATAAGTCTGTCATTTAGGGACTGCTTCTTCCAGTCTTGATCCTTGGTAAAAAAGGATTCATTAGTTACACCTGCCAACCCTCTCAGTCAATTAGCACGGGAATCCTAGCAGTCTAACTGATCTCTGCCCTGTGAGAAGATGAGTTTCAGGGGTCTGAGCTTTACCCCTTATCTAAGGAAGTAAGAACCAAGTGAACCTTCTGTGGTATTAAAATTCATCCCAAGTTCTTTCCCTAGCTTCTCAGCTCTTTTCACCAGTTCCTTCCCCACCAAGTCTAACTAGTACCCTCCCTCTACATGTCCCATTGACCCTCTGCTTTCTGGGCTGCTCCGGCGAAGCAGAGCTATGTCCCACCCTTCTCTGTGACACGGACTCCCTTCTCCTTTATTCATGTCACACTCAGCCCACCCCTCCTCAGAACCGCTTCACTTGTACCGGCTGTATTCATAAATACCATAGGAAGAAAAGTTCTCAACCAACACCAGCACTAGAGGCCCCCATCAGATCTCCAAATCTGTTCCCACTACACTGCCCTCTGGGACAGCAGTACTGTTCCCACTACGCCACCCTCTGGACAGTACTCTTGTTCACTCACTCTCTCCTTTCTCCGTGGTTGCCTTATTTAAATGGATTTTTCGGCAGCAAATACAAGCGTGAGTGAAAGTCACTCAGTCGTGTTCCTACTCTTTGCGACCCCATAGACTATACAGTCCATGGAATTCTCCAGGCCAGAATACTGAAGTGGGCAGCCTTTCCCTTCTCCAGGGGATCTTCCCAACCCAAGGATTGAACCCAGGTCTCCCCCATTACAGGCAGAATCTTTACCAGCTGAGCCCCAAGGGAAGCCCAAGAATACCAGAGTGAGTAGCCTATCCCTTCTCCATCAGATCTTCCCAACCCAGGAATTGAACCAGGGTCTCCGGCATTGCAAGTGGATTCTTTACCAACTGAGCTATGAGGGAAGCCCAAATACAACAAGGATATTACTTAAGTAGAAAATCTTGTTAGATGGCAGAATGAAACAATAATAGATTTAGAGTCACTTTAAACCTTAGATATGAGGCCTTAGATAGATATTAGGAATGAGGCCATGGACAGGTATATCTCCATGTATATATATGTATGGAATCTATAATAACTCTAATAAAGAACTTAATGATAAGAAATTTACAAACACAAGGAAATGTTGAATATCATACATATACATACATACTCATAGGATTCTAAAGTTATCTTTCACAAAGAGAAACTTTAAGAACACTGTCAGTATCAGATATCAATATCTCAAAACAAAAAGGGAAAAAAATGAAATTGGCAAACAAAAGGAAACATTCAAGGGCTAATGTATCATAAAAAAAGTTATTTACTGAAACAAGAAAATTAACACTTGAAAGTAGTTTTGTAGGTCTGCTAAGTGTGTGGGGTGGGCAGGCAGGAGTGGGTGGCAAAGAGGGGATGAGAAGAGATGAAATGAGGTGATGTCAAGGGATCTCCCTAAACCATGCTAGGGGTCATTCTACAGTCAGTAGGGAACTACTCAAGAGTTTTAAGAAAGAGACTAATACTCTCTCACCTACAGTTTAGGAAAGACGTCTGAGTAAAACAATGTTAAGTCGAGCAATAGTAGGCAGACACATGCATTAGTTCAAGTGAGTCAAGATTATGGCCTGGAGTAGGGTGACAGCAGTGAGAATGGAAAGACATGGATGGATTTAAGAGATTTGGGGAAGCAGGATGGACTTTGGGATTGAGTGGTCAGAAAGAGAGAAAAAAAATTAAAGTGAAAGGTAGAGTTGTCTCCTAAAAGGAGGAAAACAGGCAGAAGACTGAATTTGAAAAGCTAGAGGAATAAGGAGTTTAGCTTGACAGGCTAAATTTCAGGAGCTGAGAGGAGATGCAAACAGTGGTTCCCAGGAAGCAGTCATATATGTGTGACCAGAGCTCTGGGCTACAGATACCAATGTGAAGCTCATCAGCAGGCAGCAGACCCCAGTGCCAGCTTCTCCAGAAAATCTGCTTTTCTGCTCTCAGTCCTCACATCCCCAGACAAACTCCCTTCCTGGCCCAGAATCTTTCCAAAAGAACCAGGAAAAACCACCTGGCAGTAAAGTCTCTCTCTTTCTCAAAATTTTAACCTCTATTGAACTAATCCCACCCCCACCACAGAAAACCTTCCACAACTCCATCTTGTCCAGGAATCTCAAGTGTATTTCATAAACGAGCCCTAGTCCCAGTGTGGCTGTGTTCACTGTGAGGTTTAGGAAAGCATGTGCCATGTTAACGTTTTAAAACTGATTTGTTTTTGGTGGCGCAGGGTCTTCGCTGCCACGCGCGGACCATCTCCAGTTGTGGCAAGCGGGGGATGCTCTTCCTTGTGGTGTCCAGGCTTCTCACTGCAGTGGCTTCTCCGGCTGCGGACACAGGCTCCAGGCACGCAGGCTTCTGTAGCTGCGGCCTGCGGGCTCTAGAGCTCAGGCTCAGTAGTTGTGGCGCAGGGGCCAGGCTGCACCAAGGCACGTGGGATCTTCCCAGAGCAGGGATTGACCCCGTCTCCCCTGCACTGGCAGGCAGATTCTTAACCACTGGACCATGAGAGAAGTCCCCATGTTAACTCTTCATTCCACACTTCAGGAAATTTGTGTGAGGGACTGTATAGTTTTCCAGGATTCATGAATGCTGGGTGATGAGCTGAAGCCTGGAGGATTGTGGCTAAAAAGTGGTGGGTATCCAGTAAAATATAGATACTATACTTCTAGTTTTTCCAGCCATGTGTGATTTTTTAGAAAATCATTTTAATTTTTTGTTTTGGTCCTGTCACTACAGATCAGGAGAAAAGAAAGCCCTGCCTCATCTTTCCAGGGTTGCTGTGACACTGGAATAAGACTATGAGTTTAGGAAATTTTCAGGGGTAAGAATGATACAAAGCTTACTTAATTTTGTATCTCAGACTAACCTGATATAAAATCACCACTAACAATGTCTGTAAAGAACTTTGCTCAGTGACTAGGATGCAGTAAATGTTCACAGAATGTTGGCTATTAGCATCCAGGCTCTTTGTGTTCCCAATTATCCAAGGATGACATGGCAGTCTCTTATTGGCTGACCAATCTCTTCATTAGGTAAAAAGCACTTAGAGGTCCTGCCAACCATTCAGTAGATCCTAGATCTAATGTAATCTAGAATGTAAATCATTCCCTGACTGTCAAAATGACTGCTCAATGAATGCTTTACATTTCCCCATTTCCTTAGCTCAGACCTGCTGATCACAATAACCAGGCCAAGCTGGTGATGACGACAGAGTGATGAAATAGTGACCCCAGGGAAAGATGAAGCTAATGTAACAAAGAGGGGAGGGGCTGAAGAGAAGTATAAGTAGGGGGCTTATTATATTAGGGGGCTTATATATTAGGGGGCTCAGAGCAAACCTGGGCACACCGTCTTCCTGAACTAAGGTGCAGAATCCTGTCCCCCACAGCCCTGGCCTGAAAAACTCCATGGGAACATAAGTCCTAAGCCTGGAGTTCCCTTTCCCACAGACAGCTGAACTGCTTTTGGGCAGATGGGCTTTTAGGGACAGCAAACTGAGGGACCTGGGTCCAGAAGTCCAGTCACGAAGCTTCCTTGTCTTTCCGTGAGAGGGATAGCCCCCCACCTTCCCTGGAACAGAAGCGCCTCCATCTGCCTGTTGGAGCCCTCCTCCCCTGTTGTATTCATGCCCAGAGCTGCTTTTCAACCCGCCTGCCTAACCATACCCACTGGTTCTACTAGGTGTTCCAGAGAAACTACTGAACCGGGAGCTCCATACTCTGCTGATCTTCTGCCCCTCACAAAGGGAGACCATGAAGTTTACCTTCTGTTTGAGTGTCCTTGCTGGTATGTATCTAGGACTTTCTACTCTGTCATATAAGGCATAGGTTAATATAGAACGGAGGAGGACAGATGCAGGATGTGGGGATGGCGCAAAAGAGAGTCAAGAGAAACTGTCAGGAGCAGCACTGGGGATCCCCCTCAGACTCTAGCCACAGGCTCTCTGGACAGGCTGAGAAGCCCAGTGCTAAGCCTGGGGGGTAGGTTATGGTGTATGTCTGCCTTGGAGAGTTCCACGCTCAACACTCAACAGTGAGTGTTCCACCTTGGTTATTCCAAAATACGGGCTTCATCACACAGGGGCAAGTCTCAAGTGTAGTCACAAGGACAGAGAACTCATTTTGACGACTGATATGCCTCCCTGTTGCAAAAGCTTAGAGACTCAGAATGCGGGGAATGGAGAAGAAGAGAACAAAAGATCAAATGCAAGGACCCTCCATCCTCTACTCCCTGACTATCATGAAGCTCTTCTGAATTCTCCAGAGCGGCCTTTCCCACCACACCCTGACTGCCTAGGTTGCTGCATCACAAATTAGCTGCGTGAGCTTGGACAAGTTAATCTATCTGGGCTTCAGTTTCTACAGTCAAAATGGGAATATTCCTACCTACATTATAGAATCATTGTGAAGATTTAGAACAAGAGTGCAATGGCTCTTGTCCTTATTAATACCCCACCCTTTTTTCCTTGGGGTTTCTAACTGTGACTCCACAGAAAAGGGTATGGAGAGGTACAGGCCTGGGCTTGGAAAGGTTTAAAATAAGAACCAAGGGCAGCTGAAGTAAAAACAATATTTCTGATATTAGAATCAGCCTTCCTCCTCTTTCTTTTTTTTTAAAATAATTCATTTATAAAAGCACTGCACGGTCATACTAGAAAATTGAGAAATATTAAAAAGTATAAAAAATAAACATCATTCATAGTACCACCTCAGTCAACACATGCTAATGCACTGTTTGAATTTATTCCCAGGCTTTATTTTATTTATTTTAATGGCTTATTTTTGTTTCTTTACTTGTTTTTAGATAATTGGATTATTAGATTAAATGTACATTTTTATTATTTTTTAACTGAAAGGTTATTAGTATTCCTTTGCTGTTTAATATTCTTTATAAATGCAGTTTTAATATATACGCTGTTCCATTTGTTCACATCCCTTTGTATTTCAATATCCAACATTACTGTATTGGACATTCATATTTCATTTACCTATTACAAGAAAGAAAATGAAGTAGCTCAGTCGTGTCCATCTCTTTGCAACCCTGTAGCCTACCAGGCTCCTCCATCCACAGGATTCTCTAGGCCAGAATACTGGAGTGGGTTGCCATTTCCTACTCCAGGGGATCTTCCCGACCCAGGGATAGAACCCAGGTCTCCCACATTGCAAGCAGACTCTTTACCAGCTGAGCCACAAGGAGAGCCAAAGAATTACCTATTATAAATAGTGTTAAAATGAGCACATTTACTAATAATCTTGGTCTACATCTGATTATTTCTTTAGAATCAAGAATTCTTGGGATTGTAATTATTAGGTCAAAGGTGACAAACCATTTACAATTCTTGATGCTCATTTTTAAATTGCTTTTGAAGAAGACAGAATCAATTCCCATTATCAGCAGTAAATGAGAGTCTTTCTCATTGTACTACTCTCTTAGGCTGAATATTGTTAACATTAGACAAAAATGATTATTAAAACTATTAGATAAAATGGTATGCCACTTTTATGTACATTTTTATTCTTTACTGTCAAGTACCTTCACATTTCCTGCCCAAATGACTGTCACTTTAAAATGGTCCGCATTTCCATCCAGCTGGGAAGCTGCTGACTGTCTCATTTGTCCTAAGCACTTCTCGTTTCCATCCCTCAGGGACGCTCTTCTCCGCTCACTCGTCTGTGCAGAAAGACGACCCTTCCCCCTACCTGGCCTACCTCAAGTCTCACTTCAACCCCTGTGTGGGCGTCCTCATCAAAAGCAACTGGGTGCTGGCCCCTGCTCACTGTTACTTACCGTGAGTGTTACGCGTCCTCACCCACTCTACTCATTTCGCATTGGTGATTCTCAAACAGGGGCAACGTTCCCCCCAGGGTACATTTGGCAAAGGAAGACACTCTTGGTTGTCACAATAGAGTGAGGGCTGCAGGGAGGGCTGTGCTAACGGCATCTGCCTGGTGAACAGACGCCAGGGCAAGGATGCTGCTTAACATCCTACAGGGCACATGACAACCCCTCCACAACACAGTCATCCAGCCCCACATGTCAACAGGGCTGCTGGGGAGCCCTGTTCTATGTAATATGCCTCCTCAGTCTCCCATCAGTCTTTCCAAGGTATTTTTACTGGCAATATGAGTTTTCAGTTAAGGAACCAGCAGGCAACAGATGGTACACTCAGATTTTATCAAATTGAGGAGACTTTATAAAAAGAACTAATGACAAACGTATGGTCTAGTTATAGGGAAAACACAGACAACAGTTGAGTTCCTCTGGGGTTCAGTACTAGAAAGATGCACTTACTACTCCCAGAGCTAAAGGGGCAGGGGGAGAATGATCTTAAGGGGGAGAGGAAAAGCGTCAGTGAGAGAGGAGAGAGCACTGTGCACAGACTGCCTGATGGAGGTTCTAACCTCTGGTCAGGAGACAGTCGACAGCCACAGCCCTGTGGCAACCCAACAGGGCCGCGCAGGTGGAAGGATAAACATGCCAACCTCTCCCTTTTCCTTCCAATTCCTTTTTGGTGCTTCTTATCCGCCAAACAGAATCAAATGCCAGAGGAGAAGAAAGCTCATTGACTTAATCCACCTATTTCAGCTTCCAAAGTACAGAGAAGGATGAAATAGAGTTGCAAGGAGATCTGATAAAGCAAACAGGAGCTGTCCAACACTCAAGTCACCTCATTCTCTTCCTGACACCAGAATGGAAATGCCCAGATAGGCTGGAGCTGGAAAGGAGGGGAAATAATATTTCTAGACCATGCATTCTTTTCTCTCCCACTACATGAAAACAGAGAAGCTAAAGGTTCCACCACTTAACCGTGTGACCATGGGTGAATACTCTCATGTGCCTCCATTCCTTCATCTGTAACACGGGGTTTCAGAACAGAATCCCCCTCACTGCCTTGTTGTGAGTAGTAAATGAGGGAATCCAGGATTCAGACAAAGCTCTTGGCAAAGCACCTGGCCCACTGTAACATCAGCTTTGATGATGATACCAACAGTGATGATGATGGTGACTTCCAACCCCTTATCCCTCCAGAAATCTGAAGGTGATGCTGGGAAATCTCAGGATCAGAGTCAGAGATGGGACAGAGCAAACAATTAACCCTATCCAGATTATCCGCTACTGGAACCATAGTCATAGTTCGCCCCAAGATGACCTCATGCTTATTAGGCTGGCTAAGCCCGCCACCCTCAACGAAAAAGTCCAGCCCATTGCCCTCGCCACCAGCACTGCCAAGCCAGGCACCATCTGCATGCTTTCAGGTTTGGACTGGAGCCAAAACAACAATGGTGAGTGCACCTGCCCCCGAACATCAGGTCATCAGTTATACCTGATGAGACAAGTTGGGGAGGAGCCCATGTCCGTATAACTGAGAGCAGAGGAGGGTGGGGTGGAGACCAAGGGGAGGTGCTCCCTGAGGGGTCTGGCAAAAAGAGGCCCTCCCAGAAGTCCAGAGTCCACCTTTCCCAGGGTGTCTAAAGCCCCTCTGCTTCTTCAGAGCTTTGGCAGATAGAGCCACCAGGCCACCTGACCCAGCACAAAGGCCAGGCCTCCTGATTGTCAGAGGCACGGTTCACATTAAAAAGGCTCCTCTTTCCCATACTGGCTCACTTCTCTTGTGGAGGACACCTGACAGCTTGAGTCAGGTCACCTCTTATTCCTCCAAGAACAGACACAGAGTAGAAAGAAAACGCTGCTTTTCAAAGAGACATAAAGGCCATTTCAAAATCCTCAAGATTAACCCTCATAACCATGCACAAAATCATGTCTTCTTTCTTCCTCATTATTTTGTTCAGTTCAGTTCAGTCACTCAGTCCTGTCTGACTCTTTGCAACCCCATGGACTGCAGCATACCAGGCATCCCTGTCCATCACCATCTCCCAGAGCTTGCTCAAACTCATGTCCATTGAGTTGGTGATGCCATCCAACCATCTCATCCTCTGTTGTCCCCTTCTCCTCCTGCCTTCAATCTTTCTCAGCATCCAAATGAGTCAGTTCTTCACATCAGGTGGTTCAGGTATTGTTCAAACAGATATAAAACATCAGTTGAAACAGAGGCTGGGGATTGGAGAGCTAAATAACATTTGTGAACAGGAAGGTTTCTTTTATCCCTGTCTTCCCTCAGGCAGACACCCTGATTTAAGGCAGAACCTGGAGGCCCCTGTGATGTCCAACACAGCCTGCCAGGAAACCGAACAAGGAAAAAGCCACAGAAACTCCATATGCGTTAAATTTCTAAAAGTGTTCAGTCGAATTTTTGGGGTAATCTTTTCTCTCTATTCAATTTTCATTCATTTAGATATGTCTAGTTAACTATTTAACCACGGTATTTAAAAAATAGAAAGCCCACAGCTTCACAAATTTTTGAGAATTTGGTAAGGCTGCAGCAAAGCCTCCCATTATCTTCAGTAAAGGGCCCTCATTAGAGACATCTGTATTCATTAAAGGGCATCATGCATACTTTGCTTGGTTTTTGAGCACTTTAAAAAAAATTAATTCAAATATTTCACAAACTGAAACAGGCTTCACCAGTTCAAGTAAATGGAGTTTGACTCATTTTACATGTGAGTTCTAGAAAGGCTTTTCTCTGACTTTCTCAATGTCACACAAGGCTAGTTACGACAAAGTTACATAAAAGAATCAAGCTTCCAGTCTGCAGACTCTTATCTTGATGCAGCATGCTACCTCTAGACAGGGCGCATCCACACTGTGACTAGAGAGCTCCTAAAAGGAGAAGATTTGACTGTATCTGTCTGCCTCCCTCTCTGTGTGTGATCCCTTGTAGGAGGTGGCTGTTGCTACTGTCATCTGCAAAAACAAGCTTCAGGGGATCGAGGTTGGACACTTCATGGGAGGGGATGTGGGCATCTACACCAACGTTCAGAAATATATCACCTGGATTGAGAGCACCACTAAAGACAAATGAGACCATGTTTCTCCCTAAGCGTCCCAGTGGCTCTGCCATGGACGATACCAACCACAACTTATCCCAAATTCAAAATAAAACATCCAAATAGAAATATTTGGATTTACCACACCAGTATCTTGTGTTTTCTTTGTATCTCTGTGCATATCCCATAATGAGCTGAAGAACCAAGAATGAAACATGAAATAAGCATTTTCCACACTGTCCTGGGTTATATATATTATCTCACTTAAAGCTTATAACAAACCCTCAAAGTTATCTTTTCTTCCCACTTTACAAATGGGAAAATTGAGACAAATAGAAGTTACTTAACATTATCTATAGGTAGTAGTTTGTCAGAGCCTGAAATGGAATCCCAAAATGCTGGATTCTTAGCCCTATGCACTTAGCCTTGAAATTATAGGCAAGTCCATAGCATTACAACAGATACTGGCTTCTGTTCCCTGCTACCTCTCTCCTTTGCTTTTCGCTTCTCTTCTTTTCACAGCTATTTGTAAGGCCTCAAGAGGCAGGTCAGGTGGTCTGTATTCCCATCTCTTTCAGAATTTTCCACACAGTCAAAGGCTTTGGCATAGTCAATAAAGAAGAAATAGATGTTTTTCTGGAACTTCCTTGCTTTTTCGATGATCCAGCGGATGTTGGCAATTTGATCTCTGGTTCCTCTGCCTTTTCTAAAACCAGCTTGAACATCTGGAAGTTCACGGTTCATGTATTGCTGAAGCCTGGCTTGGAGAAATTTAAACATTACTAGTGTGTGAGATGAATGCAATTGTGCGGTAGTTTGAGCATTCTTTGGCATTGGTTTTCTTTGGGATTGGAATGAAAACTGACCTTTTCCAGTCCTGTGGCCACTGCTGAGTTTTCCAAATTTGCTGGCATATTGAATGCAGCACTTTCACAGCATCATCTTTTAGGATTTGAAATAGCTCTACTGGAATTCTATCACCTCCACTAGCTTTGTTCATAGTGATACTTCCTAAGGCCCACTTGACTTCACATTCCAGGATATCTGGCTCTAAGTGTGTGATCACACCATCGTGATTATCTGGGTCGTGAAGATCTTTTTTGTACAGTTCTTCTGTGTATTCTTGCCACCTCTTTTTAATATCTTTTGCTTCTGTTAGGTCCATACCATTTCTGTCCTTTACTGAACCCATCTTTGCATGAAATGTTCCCTTGGTATCTCTAATTTTCTTGAAGAGATCTCTAGTCTTTCCCATTCTATTGTTTTCCTCTATTTCTTTGCACTGATGACTGAGGAAGGTTTTCTTATCTCTCCTTGCTATTCTTTGGAACTCTGCATTCAAATGGATATATCTTTCCTTTTCTCCTTTGCTTTTGGCTTCTCTTCTTTTCACAGCTATTTATAAGGCCTCCCCAGACAGCCATTTTGCTTTTTTGCATTTCTTTTCCTTGGGGATGGTCTTGATTCCTTTCTCCTGTACAGTGTCATGAACCTCCATCCATGGTTCATCAGGCCCTCTGTCTATCAGATCTTACTACTTCTCTCTGTCTCCACTGCTCCCACTCTGGTAAACCTGGAGTATTGCAGTATCTCCCACTTTTGCCTTACTAAATTCAACCTGTTCTCAATACAACTTCTTTTAAAACTTAAGTCAAGTTCTGTCACTTGTCTCTGCTTTTAGCAGAGACAACCTCTCCAATGGTTCCCTCACTCAGAATAAACAAAAAATGTGTACAATGGACTATAAAGGCCCTAAAACCATGGGCCCCCCTGCCCCTTTGATCTCATCACCCACAACACCCCTACTCCAGCTACAATGGCCTCCTTGCTCTCCCGTGAACACATTAGACACTTTTTTACTCAAAACTTTCACACTTTTCCCAGATTCCTAAATGGCTACTTCCCTCACTCCCTAAAATCTTTGAATATTTTCTGGACTTCCCTGGTGGAACAGTGGGTAAGAATCTGCCTGCCAACGTAGGGCACATGGGTTTGCTCTGTGGTCTGGGAAGATTCCACATGCCTCGGAGCAACTAAGCCCACACACCACAACTACTGAGCCTGCGTTATACAGTCTGAGAGTTCCAGCTATTGAGCCTGCGTTATACAGTCTGAGAGTTCCAGCTACTGAGCCTGCGTTATACAGTCTGAGAGTTCCAGCTACTGAGCCTGCGTTATACAGTCTGAGAGTTCCAGCTACTGAGCCTGCGTTATACAGTCTGAGAGTTCCAGCTACTGAACCTGCGTTATACAGTCTGAGAGTTCCAGCTACTGAGCCTGCGTTATACAGTCTGAGAGTTCCAGCTACTGAACCTGCGTTATACAGTCTGAGAGTTCCAGCTACTGAGCCTGCGTTATACAGTCTGAGAGTTCCAGCTATTGAGCCTGCGTGCTACATCTATTGAAGCCCGTGCACCTCAGAGGCTGTGCTCTGCAACAAGAGAGGCCACCTGCACACCGTAATAAAGTAGCCCCTACTCACAGCAACTAGAAAAAGCCCCCACACAGCAATTAAGATGCAGAGCAGTCAAAAGTAAATAAATAAAAACATTTTTTTAAGACTACAGGGATTTCCCTGGTGGTTCAGTGGCTAAGACTCCATGTTCCCAATACAGGGAGCCTGAGTTCAATCCCTGGCCAGGGAACTAGATCTCACATGCTACAACTAAGACCCGGTGCAGTCAAATAAGTAACTTAAATAAATATCTTAGTAAAGTCTTGTCTGACTACCCTATCTAAAATTAGGACCCCATTTCTGGTGCACGCTCATCTTCTGTAAGAATTTGGCAATGCATATGATAAACCTTAGCACTATGCATATGCATATTCTCTGATGTCTACCTTTAGAGTTTTACAAGATGTTCACTGTAACACCATAGAGAGCAAATACTGGTATGCAGGGCCACAGAGTGTGACTCATTTTTTAAAAGGCAGTACAATCATACACAATAACATGTGTGATCATTCAATAATATCTACTGTTCTAAACACTGAAGACACAGGAGAAAATCAAAGATTTCTGTTCTCATGGAGTATACATTCTAGTTAAGAGAGACAGGTAAATTTTAAAATGTATTATGTCAGGTAAGTACTATGAAAAAAACTAGAGTAAAACTGGGAGTACTGAGGTAACATTTTAAAGAGAGCATACATTGAGAATTACTCAACAAGGATTCCCAAAGCTGGAGTAGGTTCTATGAAATTTTCTTGGAAATGCAGAAAATAGAGTTGAAAGGTGGTTGGGAAAGGCAGTATCTGCTCTCCTAGAGAAATCGTTGGTTAACATAGAAGAGTCAAAATGCGACGACCAGGACTGAGGAAGTGAGGATGAGGAATATGTTTATGACAAGTTGTGATAGTAAAGTGTGACAGAATGTGCCTCCTGAGTCTTGAACGTCCCCAGAAAGCACTGATGCTGACAAATGGGCAGAAGAAGGCAAGAAAATAAGAGATCCATCTAGGGAACATCCAGGACAGGAATCTCAGGAGTAAGGGTTGAATTGGCTACCATTCCTCTGGGGATACTGGGAAAGCCCAAAACCAATTTACAAAGCTAGGGGCCTGGGAGTGAAAGATGCTGTCATCAGATATTCCCCCAACTCTTCTACTAGTTCCTCAGAGATATCCAGTGCAGAGTTACAAAACCTTCCTAAAAGAAAGAAAGCCTAAACTGTTGATACCTGATTTTCAAAGTTATCTTTTACCTTAAATTCAGGATAAGTTCATCTTAATGATATTATGCTAAGAAAACTACAATGAGATTAATACTCTCCTCTTCTTAACCTCTTTCGCACACTTAAAAGACATCATGCCTGAGTCCTATCTCAGAGACTCTGACGGAATTGCTCTTGGGCAAGACGGGCATTCGTGATACCTTTTAATCTGCCAAAGTGATTCTCATATGCTGCCAAGACTGAGAACTTGAAACTAACCATGAAGCATGTACTATCTAAATATTTCCCAGAATTTTATAGAACACTAGAGGCTACAAAAAATGGTTTTCTAAAAATTCACGTTTACTGATTGCTTCATACTGCTGTATAGAAACACATTAACTCTTAGATATTGACCTTATATATAGTTACCTTTCTAAATTATTTCCTAAAATTTTTTAATTATTGGGATTTTCTATGTAGACAACCATATCTGCTTAAAATAATGACAGTTTTATTTCTTCTTTTCTAATATTTACATTTTTTATTTCTTTAATGTGTTGTTAAGCATATAAATCAGTGGTTTTTTTCATATAGTCACAGACTTAAGCAATTACTGCACTATCCAAATCTAGAACACTTTCATGACCCTGACAAAAACTATATATATCCATAAGCAGTCACTACCCAATACCTATATCCCCAGCACCTGGAAACTACTAATTTACTTTCTGTTCTATAGATCTGCTTATTCTGAACCTTTCATATAAAGGGAATCATAAAACATGAAGTCTTCCTGACAGGCTTCTTTCAGTTAGCATGTTTCAAGGTCCATCTGTGTTGTACCATGTATCAGTACTTCTTTCCTTCTTACTGCTGAATAATATTCTATTATATATGATTATGTGTGCATGCACACACACACACACACACACACACACACATCACACTTTGTTTATCCATTCATCAGACAACAGACATTTGGGTTGTTTCCACTTCTTGACTAGTATGAACAGTGTTGCTGTGAATATTCATTGGTAAGTTTTTGTGTGAACATATATTCTCATTTCTCTTGGCTATATACCTATGAGAGGAATTGCTGGCTTATATAGTAACTGTATTTAATGTAGAATGTTGAAGTTTTGAAGCTATTCCACTAGCTCCCACTAAAGGAAAGAACCTCAGCAAAGTTTTCCGCTTTGTTCTTAAAATGCTCATACATTGCTAATGTTTTCTCTTTAATTGAAAGTAAGTTGTCACCAACAGTTCATTTTGTCTTCAATCTATATGCTTAATTTCTTTGGTCTGTTTCTCCTATTTCCATCTTTTTACTGTTTCCTGATACCTTCTCAGAACGTTCTTTGAGCTGACCTTCCAGTTCA